CGCCCGGCCGCCCTCCGCCGGGACCCGGGCTCGCCGCTGAGCGCTCCCGCTGACTGGCAGACGACCTGGAAAAAACCACTGGCTCTGTTTGCGTTGGAAGGAGCCCAAGGCTAATTTTCAGGGGTTCATTTAGCTCTGATTTAATCTGGACGGCAGCCTTGCCTATAAATCACGGCTTAATGAGAACAATCCACCTGCCTGCCCTGGCATTTAATAAGAGAGAACTGGAGTCCCTCCAGGAGCTACGCGTTCCTCACAAAAAGGAGTCTCCTGCCGGGTGTCCTGAGGACGCAACCCTCCAGCTAGGGCATCTGGAGGATCTCCACCGCCCTTCCTAGCTCCCTCTTTTACGTCCCGAGAGCTTTTCTGAGCACCTCCTGCCTCTCCCGGTGTCTCCCTGCGCTCACGGCCTGGCCGGGCGCTAATTCCCACTGCCCGACAGCCCCCGCCGGCTCCCCGGCCATGCCCACCTTGCTCTTTCAGCCGGATGATCTCCGTGTCGGAGCCAAAGCTGTTCCAGGCGGTGCAGTTGTAAATGGTTTGGAAATCAGCCCGGACGATGTTGCTGATGGTCAGCGTGGAGATAACGCCCTCGTCCGTGCTGACCGTCTCCACCGTGTAGCGCCCGGAGGTCCCAGACTCCAGGACGTTCTCCTTCCAGGACCAAGCCTGCCAAGCAAGAGAGAAGGGGCTAGCCCGGGGCAGGTCTGCCCGCTGCAGGGCACCCTAAGCTGCGGTGAGGCACCCACCATGCCCCATGGCGAGGCGCTGCCCGTGGGATGCTACTCACAATTCGGTCCGGCGGCGGGGTGCTGCGGATGAAGCACTTGATCTGCCCTTTCTGGCCGTGCAGGGCGTGCTGTGTCTGGGTGCTGGAGATGATGGGTGGCCCTGCAAGAGAGAGGAGAGGGCTGCTGACATCTCACACGGCCTCACGTTGCGTCGGGGGGGAGGTTCACATTGGATATTAGGAATAATTTCTTTACTGAAAGAGGGGTCAGGCACTGGAAGAGGCTGCCCAGGGCGGTGGTGGAGTCCCCATCCCTGGAGGGGTTCAAAAAATGTGTGGATGTGGCACTTCAGGACATGGTTTAGCGAGCGTGGTGGTGTTGGGTTGATGGTTGGACTTGATCTTGGAGGTCTTTTCCAGCCTTCATGATCGTGTGATTCTATGGGTGCCTGCAACATGAGGTGCTGGTGGCAACATGGGCGGTGTTAGCAGAGCCCCAGAGAGACATCAGGGTCTCCCTTTGAGAGGGGGCAACAGCAGAAGGACGCAGAGCGGGGGCTTCACTTGAAGGCCCCGCTGGTTTTCTCCAAAGCCCCCCCAAAAGCGCCAGGGTCTCCCTGTCTCTCTTCCCGCATCCCTGGCGTTGGCCGGCGATTCCATCACCCAGCGGCCATCTCCTTGGTGAACCTGGCCTCTGAGAAGGGCTCTTTGCTCCAGAAGTGAAGCAACAGCCCAGCCCACCCGGATTTCCTCTTCTCCAGATCTGTGAAGCAACCCTGACGCTAATTGCTCCCCAGGGACTTGAGGAAGCCGTAGGAAGGTAGAAGGAGACACTACCGGGCAGCTGCTACCTGCAAGCCACCATCGGTGACCTGCAATCAGCCTGCCCCATCATGGAATCACAGAATGTTCGGGGTTGGAAGGGACCTCTGTGGGTCACCCAGTCCAACCCCCTGCCCAAGCAGGGTCACCCAGAGCAGGCTGCACAGGACCTTGTCCAGGCGGGTCTGGAATATCTCCAGAGAAGGAGACTCCACAGCCTCCCTGGGCAGCCTGGGCCAGGGCTCCGTCA